ATTTTCCCATCTGGATGTAGTAGCACATGCCTGTAATCCCAGCACGCAGGAGGCTGAGGAGGATCACTCCAACTTCAAGGCCAGCCTGAGTTCCATAGTAAGTTCAAGGAAAGCCTGAACTATAAACTGAGAGCTTGTCTCAAAAAACACAAAAAATAAAAATACATAAAATTTAGTTTAATATGGAATTTATCGGAAACAAATAAAAAAGACCAGAAAGCTCTCTAGGCCAAAGAAGGAAAACTAGAAACTATCTCCACAATGACAAGAAAACCTCCCACTGATGTAAGAGTTACACTTCCTAGAGAAGCAAAGGCAAAGAGAAAGGATTTTCAAGGACTAGCTTTCTTTAGGAACTCTCCCAGACAAGACATGTTGCTAACTATCTTACTTTTTTGCTTGTTCCCAAGGCCATATGTATGGATTTAACAATATCCAGGCCAGGTTGAACGTGGTGGCAGTTCAGAATGTGGCCAGGGGATCTGGCTGGCTGCAGCCTCCACCTTGCGCGGCAGAGTAAGCCCTGCACGCCTAGGTAGGGATACTGGCTTCCACAGAGTATTTATATTGAGTAAGACTGAAAGATCAGGATGAGTAGACAGACCATTCACTATAAATACTATAATATATAAATGAGGATTTCAGCCAAATAGTTGGAATTTGGGATTTTTTGTTTTACTTTGTTTTGAGACCAGGTCTCACTGTGTAGTTCAGGCTGGCCTTGAGCTCATTATGTAGCTCAGGCTGGCTTCAAATTTGCAGCAGGCCTTCCCACTAAACTACATTCCCAGCATTTTTTTTTTTTTTTTTTTTTACTTTTTTGTATTTAGGACAGGGTCTACAGGGTCTACAAGGTTTCAGGCATGCACCACCACGCCTAGTCTTAATCACTGTCTCAGCGTGCCCTGGGGGCAGAGCCAGCACAGCAGGCCCCGGGGATTGGACTCCCAGCTCCTGCAACTGCCTAAGCAGGCACTTTAATCCACTGAGCTATTTGGCTATTTGGCCGGCCCTATTTACTTTACTAACTTATTTCTTTATTATTTGGTACAGGATCCCACTATGTAGTTCAGTGATCCTCCTGTCTCAGCTTCCCCAGCACTGGGATTACAGGTATACACCAACCAGCACGCCCCATTTCAGGCTTGCATGGAGATCAAACTCAGGCTTGCCAGGCAGGTGTTTATGGTGCCAAGCTATCCCCCGACTACCCCCCCAATCATTTTTTCAGACAATTCTCCCTAAACTGGCCAGCCCCTCATGCAGTTCAGATTAGTGTGTGCCCCGCATTCAGCTGACTCATCCTTTACCTGACAGGTAACTCTCTCACCCCATTATCAACCTCCCCCCACTTGCAAACATATTCTAGAATAGTGTTAAGAAGTATTCTCTGTTGAATAAAGATTGTTCATAAGTTCTCAATCAACACAGATATTCTGGTAAATGCTTTTCAAAATATAAACCTTTTAAGATAAGATTCTGCATGAGTCAATTATTTTTTGGCACAATGTTATAGCCAAACATTACGTGGCTGATATAATGTGTACCGGGATAAAGATACATACATACATATATATATATATATTTTTTTTTTTTTTTTTTGGCGGAACCGGGGATTGAACTCAGACCCTTGCACTTGCTAGGGAAGTGCTTATTCCACTGAGCCATCTCCCCAGCCCCAAGATACATATATTTGAGCACTAAAAAATATTAAATACCATAGTAACAAGATTTCCAAACCATTGATGGGCGAGTTCATGTCCTACAACCAGAGCAACCCACTGGCGTGATGAAGAACAGGAATTTTTTGGATCAATAAGCAATGCGGTCTCCCTGTTAAAAAAAAAAAAAAAAAAGTATTTGCAAAACAGTGGGACGCTTTAATCAAGCAGGTCTGAAGAGATTCAGACAATAAGCAAAATCATTAGGTTAGGCTTTAGGGATACCAAGAAACATTATTTTAGCACATACAGGATAAAAAAAAAAGTTCTAGGCACACTACCCAGACAGAACGCACACAACAGATGAGCTACGTGACGTGCCCTGAGCTTAACTACGAGTTGGCCATTTGCAATGCTGGGAAGCCTGTGTCTCAGCAGTTAGGGATGACCGTGTTACAGAAGACACCCCTTCCACTAAATGAGAGGAGCCGCAGGGAAGACGCAGGCCACAGCCCCTAAAGAACACTGAGCAGGCTGTCCAGATCAACTCATCAAAAAGGCAACTGAAAGTAGAAGAAAAAACTGTTTATAGCGTCTGCTTTAAAAACTATACAACCCACATGTTTGCCTTGCCCTGGCAGACACATAAAAGCTTGGCCAGAAGATACAGAATCAGGGGCGGTTCTTCAAGCTGGATATAACTATGAAACTACTGGGAGGAAGAGAAGACACCGAAATGAAAAACTCAGCCAAGAATGTATCTAAAAATGCTACTAATGCCAGATGCTTGCTTTTAAAATCTCACACCCTTAGACAGAAGCACCCCAGGAGGAAGTCCACCTGCATTCTTGAAATTGGGAGGAGGCAGAAAAAATGGCACCAAATCAGAAAGCTATTCAACTGTCTCTAGCATGAAGTCCAAGGCAGGAGAGCGAGTTGCCAACATACCTGTATGTCACAAGGCCCCAGTTCTCCATGGCACCTTCACAAAATAAATATAGACATTTACTGATCTACACATCCACACTTCTTCCTCAAAAATCGCAAAATTAAATAAACATTACAATTCAGCAACAAAATGAAATTTACTTTACCAGCTGCAAAGTCTGCAATAGCAATGAGATCAATTTTAGGTAGAGGATAAGGAACATTGAAGTAGTCCTTATAGAAAGGCAAGGTTTTAGCAGCAACCTGTAAGAGTATAAACAAAAGAACCATCTGATAAATATTGTATTAGACTTCATAGAGAAATACACAAAGGAAACCTGTTGCAAGCCAAAGTATCTCAAATTACTAGAAATCAATCCCCGGGAGCCCTACCTCCAAAGATGGCCTTAGCCCAGCTTCACATCACTGGTAAACTCTCATCAATTTTAACTTAAAACAGATGCACAGTTTCCACCCATTCCATAAATAAATAAATTCCACTTTTATATCCTTTTCTTTGCCAGGGCTGGGGTTTGAACCCACAGCCTTATGCATGCCCAGCATGCTCACTACCGCTGAGCTATGTACCCCCCAGTCCTGACTTTCATATCCTATGAATTATCTGGTAGTGTTAATGCAACATCAAAGTTGGTATTTCTAAAATGCTATTAAAAGTAAAACCACACTAGCACAATAACTTTCAGATTAAATTATAAATAATACACTAATAATTGATCAGAAATGTAAATTCCCCAACCTGGAGTTATGGACTGTTGGAACAATCCTCTTCAAGTACATTTACCTCTAACGCAAATTTTCCTTGCTCTGCTTTGCCAACAGGAGTGTAAACACGGACACACACACCATCTTTTGACCTTGTTTCTACAAAGTCATATTCACCCACAACAAATGCCACCAAATATGTAGACATAACAGGTGTGCGGGCAAACTTCACTTCCACTAAATTTTCATCATCTGGGTATGGTTTCCGGTCAATTACATTCTTTAAAAAAAAAAAAAAAAAAAAAAAAAAAGGAAAATTTAAACAGATTTACATTAATACCTCAGGGCACAGACTAGCCAAAAGCTATAGACTTGCATGCTTTTCCTTCCCCGGGCCACAATGGCTTACTTCCCTGCCCCAGCTCATCCAGTGCTTTTATTCTGTCAAGATCTTTCCTCCTGTGAAGGGAAGTGATTTGATAAAACACTCATATGAAGAAGTCGGGAACAAAAGAGTTAAAATTACCAAGAACCTGTGAAAGAAAAGAGGAATCAACTTGTCTTAAATACTTATAGGCCAAGTACTAGGATGTTTTAAGACCTTAAAACTTCAAATGAAATAATGATAAAAGACATTTATTAATAAGTGAATGTAATTATAGAATTTCTCATTTTAAAGGACATGGACGCCTGTAAGCAGGCACAGGGGCCAGGGGTTCGATCCCCAGGCCTGTAATGCCGGCCCCGCCCCCGGGGCACACTGAGGCGCCATTTGAGACTGGGTATGGTGGGGCGCGCCTGTAATCCCAGCACTTGGGAGGCTGTAAACAGGCAGATCACTTCAAGGCCGATCTAGTAGTGAGACCCTGAACACCCTGTAGACCCTTCCCTAAAATACAAAAAATAAAATAAAATAAAGGATGTAGATTTTCTGCATCTTAAACTTTCTCCGTATTGTAGCTGCCTCTGAGGAAATGAGTGACAAAATTTCCACTTTGCCTGTAGGGTTCCTAACACCCCACTCTGGAGCTCCCCCATCTCAGGCTCTCTCTCCCTTTCCTCAAATTCTCTTCCAAGGAGGACTTACTCAAGAATAGACCTGCTAAAATGTAAATGACTATTTCAATTTTATGTATGAGCCTCTTCTCAAGGAATACTTGAGAAAAGAGACTTCTACCAATGGAATTATCCCACCAGTAAGCAGGCAGTAGCTAGTTATTTTAAGGTACAGTAAGTAGGCTTTTCCAGGTTCCCAGAGTATAGGCTTGAGGGAACTACAAGGCTTCACCAAGGCAGCCCCTGAAGATATGCTTCCAGAGGTAAGTTCTTTCTGATAGATGAAATCCACCATGGCAAGGGAGAGTGTACAAAGAATACAGTCAGCCAATGCCTACATACCCTCCATACAGCTGTCTTCTGTGCACCCCCTTCCAGGTTGAGTCCCAGGGCCTTGACATTGAGAGCTACACCTCCAACCCTTTTTTATTTTGAGACAAAATGTTGCTAAGTTGCCCAGGGTGGACTTCACCTAGTGATGCTCCTGCTTCAGCTTTCCAGAATGAGGGGACTGCAGGAATGCACCACCAAGCCCAGCTTACCTATTTGACAAGGAATTTCTTCCATGAAGGGGGAAATGGCCCAAAAAGGTAAGGCCATTAAGAGAAGGGCTCACCAGAAATAAAGAAAACTAACATGTTTTAGTTAGTTTAAACTAACATGCAAGGTGCTTTCATGTCATCCCACCGCATCAGCAAAACTATACCAAAGTCGATTAAAACTTTTAACTATAAACATATACATACCATGTTCGATAAAGCTACTCTGTCTTTAGGAACAACCAATGAGATATCAAATGTTGCTTTGATGGCTGGCTCATCCCAGCAAGGAAAAGCTCTCCGGGCATCAGTAGCCTTAAGAGAAGATTATGAAACATAAACAGCAGTAAGTTAACCTAAGAGGCTAGTTCATAAAGCAACTTGCATTTCGCTGTCTATCATCCATCCATCCATCCATCCATCCATCCATCCATCCATCCATCCATGTGCTTGTTCATCTGTTCAATCAGATATTTACTTTCTACTCAGTGCTAAGCAACAAGCTAGGTACTGACTAGAAAGAAAATATATACTGCTTCCTACCATTTCCATATAAGCAATTATCCAGGAACTAGGGCTGCTACAAATCTTAATATATAAGAATCATTCTGGGGCCGGGGAAATGGCTCGGTAGAATAAGCGCTTGCACAAGGGCCTGAGTTCAAAACCCCGGTTCCACAAAAAAAAAAAAAAAATTAAGAATCATTTGCAATTATATTTTTGCTTTTAATAAAATGTTTCAAGGTGGGTATGGTAGTTCATACCTGTAATCTCAGCACTTGGGGAGGCTGAGGCAGGAGGATCATTGCAAGTTCAAGACCAGCCTGAGCAGCAAAATGAGTTCAAGGCCAGCCTGAACTGCAGAGTGAGACCCTATCTCAAAGAGAGAAGAGAGGAAGAGAAGAAGAGGAGGGGGAGGGGACGAAGGGGAGAGGGGAGGGGGAGGGGAGGGGAGGGGAGGTGGAGATGACAACGAAGACAAAGAAGAAAGAAGAAAATGAAGGAGGAGGAGGAGGAGGAGGAAACAAATCAAAACAAAACAACCTGCTACCTACAAAGAAAAAAAAATGTAGTTTGTGAGTATTGACAAAATGAATCGTGAGACTTCGGTGGTTTTTTTGTATTTAAAAAATTTAAATTCTTTCTTTCTTTCTTTCTTTCTTTCTTTCTTTCTTTCTTTCTTTCTTTCTTTGAGACAGTGCCTTGCTCTTTAGTTCAGGCTGTCCTTGACTTCCCTATGTAACGTACACTGGCCCCTGGCCTTGAACTCCAGGGGTCCTCCTGCCTCAGCCTCCCACCAGCTGGGATTACAGGCATGCACCACCAAGCCAGGCTTATTGGTACATTCATCATAGGGAATCTGAGCTGTACACAACAGACCTGGCTTCTTTTCTTCCCACTCCCCTCCCTTCCCTTCAACCTCTCTTCCTCTTATTTACCAAAGGTTTGTTTCTATTTTTTCCTTCTATTCTCTTTTTTTCTCTTCCCTTCCTTCTTCCCCCACTTTGTTCTCCTCATTTGAACATTTTCTTTCCATTTTCTAATATCTGTCATACAGTTTGGTACTCATTTTCACCTTCTGGGTTCTCACACCAGAGGAACAATACAGTATTTAAATGTGTATGTGTGTATGTCTGATTTATTCCACTGAAGAATACTGGTGACATTGGAACCACATATAGAGAGAATTACAGGGGGAAATCACCAGCCAATTATACTATTCTCATAGCAGAACAAATTGGGTGTATTACTCATTGTTTCATAGAAGAACTCACTCAGATAAGGGAACCACAGGGTAAAGCAGGAGAAGTGAGAGAACCCATTCTACAATGTGCTTGGGTGACTTGGTACTGGGTCTAAGGAAGCAGAGATGCACTCTGAACCTGGTGCTACCAGAGGGTAAGGTTGAATCAAGTCTAAAAGTTTAATAGATAAGAAGTATTTAGTAGTTTATATTTTAACAGACGGAGATGTTTGGCACTATGTAGATAGCACAAGGACCTCAATTTTGCCTCAGCCACAATGAAATCATGAGGTATCCTTTCTCTCACTTGATCAGGGTCTCTGAGTACTAAGCATGAAGTCTGTGATATTGTTTATAACAAGAGAACAACATGGGCTTTCTGTGAGTGTGTGCACAACCTCCAGATGTTGAAGTTGCTTTTTTTCCTTGATTTTCACTAAAAAAAAAAAAAAATCTCATATAGCCACAGCCACATACCCTCTTCATGTATAAAGGCAAATTCAAGATTTTCAGATATGCAAAAGTTCAGGAATTATACCACCCACTCATGGTTTGGGCCGTGGCTGGTTCTGATCCCCGCACTGAAAGGACGGTTGAGACTGGGTGTGGTGGTGCGCGTCTGATCACAGCGCTTGCGAGGCTGAAAACAGGAGAATCACTACGAGTCTGATCTGCATAGTGAGACCCTGTACTAAATACATTAAGAAAAATAGAAATAAAAATAAAAATGATTTGGCTGGAGGCAGTAATGAATGCCTATAATCACAGCCTTCAGGAGCCTGCAGGAGGAGGACCTTAAATTCAAGGCCTTAATGTGCTACACAGCGAGACCCTATCTTAAAACAACACACACAAAACATCTCTCTCTCTCTCTCTCTCTCTCTCTCTCTCTCTCTCTCTCTCTCTCTC